TTTCATGATTTCTGGCTGTAGAGCAAGTTTTGATAATAAATAAAAGACTAAATGTAAGATATATAATGTTGAAATTAACTCAGATATTTTCAGAATTTAATCAATATATTGTCACGATCAATCTTTTCTTAGTTTTTTAAAAGCAAAATTTGATATCCTCCTTTCTGTCTCTCGAAGCTTTTCCAAACCTCAGGGAAAGTTTACACAAAAATATGTATGCCTATTTGGAAGTACCTACTTCTCTCGCAAGTCTCTTTCAAAGAAATTAATTAAGAATAAGCACCGATAGAAAATGACCGATGAGAATTTAAAGAATTCTCGCTACAAAACAGAGTTAATTCCGGACATAAATAATTTGGTCAAAAGCAAACAGGCTCATAAATCCCATTAAAAAGCAAGTTATTCTGTCTTTTTCTAATGTCTTCTTATATGTTGTGTATGTTCACTATTTATAAATACGGTTTTGTTGTTAAAATAATTTAGCGGCGCATCGACGCTCACTTGAGAAGAAATTGGCACAAGAAGTTTGCCCATCGCTAAAACATCATGCAACTTGAAAGAATTGAAAAAATTGTAACTTCATCAATAAATCAAGTGAGTGATTACTGCTTGTCAGATTTCCAGTTAAAGTAGTTAGCGGAGTTTTATTTCAGAAGAAGCTTATCAATTAATTTTAACAATTTATTCATACAATGGAGAAGCATGTTTTCCTAAAAAAAAAAAAAAAATCATCCAACATTAGAGCATTCCAACTAAACACGTGTGATTCGTCAAAGAATTACTCGAGCACGTGTGTATCATGAACAGGGATTCTTCATCCCCTAATACATACTCGTTTCACGTGTGTTCGGTACACGATCTCAAAAAGAAACGCACGCACGATGACTGGAGGGGAGGGGGTGCGTCGCGTCCTCGGTTCAAAGAGGAACGGACGACAGATAAAATGGTATTGACCCAGTGAGCCAGGAGGGGTTGAACGTAAGAAAGCGAATAGAAGGAAGAG